TTGTGGACAGCCATGAATGTCAATAAAGTCTTGGCAAACACAGTAGGTATTTATTCAGCATTGCAAATTAAAAACATTTTTCCTGCTTGTTTAGTGAAGGGAACAAAAAAAGACAAATTACAGAGCGGATGAGCTCTCTTGATAGTTGGAATTCATTAAGCTGGTGGTGAAAACGCTGGGGGATTGATGGTGCAGAAAAAGAAAAGATGAAGCAGCTTTTCCCCAATAGCTATGGCTTAAGTTCAAGTTGAAAATGACCAAAAAAAAAAAATCCCTTAAAGACATCTGTAACTGACTTCACAATCCCAGTGTCTGTCTGGGTAGACAGTTCTTTCTCATTGCAGTTAGTATTAATTGGTTTTTCAGTTGACAGATAATTTCTCAGTGGCTCCTCCATCTCCATCATGCCATGGGGTGTCTGCAGCAGCTCATAAATGAGATCCATGGCCAGACATTAAGTAGGAAGTTCACACAGTCCCTTCCCATGGTACAGACAGAGCCTTTCTGCAGACTTGTCACTCTGTCATCCTCCCTCAGCTCCACATTTTATTATTACATTTTTTAAAAAAAGTATTTAAAAAGTTGCAGTAAGTTGAGCAGTTTGTCAGATGTGATGTTCTCACAGTCCATTGTCTGCAGATTCTGGCTCTGCCTTTCAGATGGATTGTAAAGCTGTCGTGAGTGCAGCTCTGACAAAATCCATTTACACGGCTCCTGTTATGGCAGGGCATGGAAAGGAAGCAGTGGGACTTATTTTTTAATGAATTTCCTGTACAGAATCATTAGTCCACCATGGAAGTCTTTCCAAGTTGCACCCAGTGCATGCTTGGTGTGATTATCCCTGATGAATGGGATAAAGTTCCCACAGTTGACACTTGGAGTCACAGACAGTCCTCATGTCATTCCAAGTGCAGGAATTCTGCTCTTCATCATTAGAAGAGAGAGGGTTCCCCAGTAAGTATTTAAATGCAGCTAAACCACCTGTAAATCACTAGAATTATTCAGCAGCAAAACAAAGCCTTTGTAAACTCCATTCTTGCAGTGCTTTAATTGCAGACAAAACTTTGCTCATTCAAGTGATCCCATCAATGTCAAATAAAAACATGAATTATGAAGCTTGTAAGATTAGAGCTTAAAGTCACTGACATGTCATTCCCATAATTTTCTCTGGAGGATTACAGAACACTTAATTTGTAACTGCAGAAACCAAAGTGTAATCAGATGTTCTTCCATCTACAGTTTTTTATCTAAGTCATTGAACTCTGGGTTTGTTCTTTCCTGTTTTCCGGGTTCTTACTTGTAAATGTGAAGACACTAACTGCTCTGTTTTTCTTCTTCCCAGTTCAACAAGAAAATTGCCCTCAACTCTTCGATCATTAAATCTGGGAAGGATGGAGCAGTCCAAGATTTGAAAATGTTTTAAAACTTCCAGCATCTAATTAGAAGGAGGCATCTTGGAGCAGCACAATAGCTCTCTATCTGCAGTTCATTTGGTTTTCCAATTTAGAAATGACAGTTTACAGCCCTGGTGCAGCGTGTTTCTCATTAGCCTGTTCTAGGAACACGCAGAGTTATTACAAGTTTTGAAAGATGCTTTCTTCAAAAGTGCAAATGATATTAAATGGCAGAATTTGCTCTCTGGATAGCCACATGGAGAAGCTGTGGTCTGCAGCCATCCCAGTGCTGGTGGTAAAGGCCAAAACAAGCAGCTGGACCTCAACTTCAAATCTGTGGATGTCATGGATGCAACTGTATGGAAAAGATGCTGCAGCAGGAATTAGCCTTGTCCAGGGGAGACAGTTGTGAATTGTCCATGCTTTCTTGTTTCACAGATGGATCTCAGGTTTCTTGGGCTTTTCCCATGAAGATTTTCTTGGAGAGGAGTTTGTTAGCTGTGCTGCTGACAGATACCCTCGTGAGAACTGTCCACACTGGCTTGATTTTCCTTCTCCAGGAGCTGGATTCCTGGTCTGAGCTGGTTGGGTTTCTTGTCCTTGGGGTAAATGAAGACAGAGCTGCGTGTCAGCAGGTGATGAAACTTGAGGAACAGGTGTTATTATTTTTTTTACGTGGTTTTCTGCCCCCTGAAGAGGAGATGGAGAATATTTGCCTGTCCTCAGGACTCGACAGATGGGTTCATCTTACATGGTGGTTTAGGGTCTGGAATGTCAGTTCTACAAGGACTGGCTGAGGGTTGAAAAGGAGACTCAGGGGAGACCTTATTTACCTGAAGACCAGCATTTTGCTGAGAGAAGGTGCTGGTGAGGTGGGAGTCAGCCTCTTCTCCCAGGTAACGAGTGACAGGACAAGGGCAAACAGCCTCAAGTTTCACCAGCAGAGGTTCAGGTTGGGCATTAGGAAAAATTTCTTCACTGGAAAAAGAGTGGTTAAGCATTGAAACAGGCTGAAGGCAGTGGTGGAGTCACTATCCCTGGAAGGGTTCAAAAAACAAGTGGACCTGGCACTTCATTGTAGGGTTCAATGAGAATGTGGTGGTATTAAATCAAAGGTTGGACTCAATAATCTTGGAGGTCTTCTCCAACCTCAGTGGTTCTGTGGTTCTAGTCAACTAAAATCAGCTTTCACAGGACTTCCAGAGGCAGGGATGGAGCATACCCAGGTGTAATAAGCTGCAGGAGGGAAAAAAATGCAGATGCTTCATTCTTCTTGAAAACACTGCAGCAAGGCAAAATTCTGGACTTCTGCATGGCTGAAGGAAAAAGAGTTTGGTTCTGCCTGCACTTTAAAGCAGCTCTATTTTACCCATTCGTGTTTTGTGAGCCTGTGTGGAAGATTCCCAGGCAGCTGCACGCTCGGGGCAGAGCCCGGGGACACGGGCACAGCTCTGTCCTGCTGCTTCCTGCCTGCTCTGCTCCACACAGGCACTTTCTGGACAGAAAAGCTGCACAATAAATCCAGTGGTGATGTGGCCTGGCATGGTGACAGCTCTTCCAGTAACTGCAGGAACTGCCTGCTTGCAGAGGCCCAGCCTGCTCCGATGGGTTGTTTTCCTCAGAACTGTTGTTCTGCACCAGATGGGGCACACGGTGTCTTTGTGCCTCCCTCTGCCTTGCAGACACTTTGTGGTGCCTTCTGTGCCACTGCCCAGGGTGGTTTGTTCCCTTCTGAGAGGCTGTGATGGACCTGAGTGCTTCCCAGAAGATGTCACTTGGAGCAGGGCTGTGCAAACACTCCAGACTTGCTCTGCAGATGTGCTTCAGGTCTGATGTTTGTTCTGCCAGCTGAGATGAGGGGCTGCAGAGAGGTTTTGAAAAAAGGAAAAGAAAAAATCTGTTTGAAAGGGAGTAAATTGTCTAGAACACACTTCACTAGCAGATTTCCAGGAAACAGCCCTCTGTCAGACTTCTTAGAAGCTGTGCTGGCTCCAGGTGCTAAGTGCCAGGTCTGAATAGCCCATAATCAACTCAGTCCTTAACGTTAGGTTTGGAGACACACTTTTCCCCTAATTTGTAAATCCCACCTCAGCCAGAGCTAGCTGACAGGTGGGCAGATTTCCAGGCTCTTTGCAGGACCTTTGGGATGAATATTCAGCCTTTAGGTACTGATGTGCAGCTTCTGTCACATGCTGGTCTTGGTGCTGCTGCTGCTGAAATGAAGATTTGGTAACATCTTACGTGTTCTGCTGTCACAAGAGGGAGTTTTGCAGCAGTGCTGCCCTTGCTGGTGTGTCTGGATGTAGTCTTGCTGTGGGCAGAGCTCAGCAGACAGAACGTGTTAATAGAAGACAGCAGCACAAGCAGGATGAAGGTCCTTCATTCCTTGTTAAAGCCTTGTACATGTTGTTCAAGCTTGACTAACAAAATTCCTCTGAGTGACACTGCTGCAAGCAATTCTCTTGCTGTTGGTAGCACTGTAATAGAAAACAGAAGTGAGCATTTGAGTGACTCAAACCAAAGTCAAGGGTAAGAATAAGAAAAAAGCATCAACTGTTTAACAGGAAAAATAAAAACCCGACGTGGCTAGGTATTCTTCTGTGGCATTTCCAATTTATTGTTACAGGAATATCCTCCCAGCTAGACTCAAGCTCCCTCAGGAAGCTGGTTTCATATGGTGGTTTAGATTTAACTATTCATTGTCTAGCACCATTTGAAATCAGTGTTCTTGGAGGAAGAATGCCTGCCTTCATCAGGGAAACGGACCCTCAGGAGCCTCAGAGGAAAAGAAGAGAAAGTCAAGATCTTCCTTGTGTGGTTCTGCCATTCCAATTAACCTCCAGCACCAAACAAAGTCCCTCACTGGGACTCCAGGGGTCTGTGGCCCAGGTGACTCCTGGGAGAGCAATGCACAGAGTGATTTCAAAGGCAGAAATTCTGCTGGCATCATATTTATAATACTTGTGAGTAGTGAGCAGCAACTTCAGAACCCAAGAATATTTTGAGACAGAAAACTAAGCAAAAAAGTAAAATCCGTGATTGTAACTCAGAATTCAAGATGTTGATTTTAATGCCCTGATTAGTAAAAGCTGCCATAACTAGTTCATACAATATGGTGAGGAATGAGGAGGGAACTACATGTGCTCTAAATTCTTAACTCAAAACCTGTTTTCAGCCTTACCTAGATCTGTTTTTCTTACCACTTCATCACACTTGTAAATACTTTGTACATGTATCATACAAGACAGAGAATCGAATTTGAAACTGGTAGTTCTGCATTGAAGCACTGGGAGTTCTGGATGCTGTTTGCATCCCTCCTGTGTGTTTGGCTTTTTGTTGTGGCACGTTTGGCAGGTCAGAATGTGTTACTTATTTTGTGCGACAAGACCTGCCAGCATTCAGGTTGGTGGTTGGATGTGCTCATGGAAATGGCCAGCAACTGAGAATTAGACCACAGGTGGTTGGTGACATTGTCCAAGTCTGCTGAAATCTGGAGAAGATTTCAAGATTATATTTTTTTAAGTATTTCACTATATTTAAAAATGTGTGTACCTATTGGTTGACGTTGAAAATTTTCACTGTCTAAACCTCTGTTTTTCTTACCAGTGCTTTAATAAGAATTATATCAAGTATTTGGGGATTCTCCAATGTGAAATGCTGTCCAGCACATGACTCTTCATCCTTGCAGATCTCCATAACCCCTTTAGAGGATGACTGATTTCTTTTGGTGTTCAGAGTCAATAATAATTTCTAGCACCATTTGAAATCGGTTATAGTGATTGGGGAATTGCACCTCGTGAATTTTTGCAGAAGAGGCTCCGGAGAGAAGCTTTAATGGTATGGAAACAGGGAAGTGTGTTATTTTAGTGAATGGAATTGCAGAAATGCTACAAGTTTAAACTCTGGGAGATGGAGAAGTGTAAAAATGTATAACCCAAGATCTTGGTTTAGGTCCTGTGTGTGAAGATGATCCTTGGAATGGTTTGGAAAGCCTTACGGTGCTGAGAGGGAAGATGGTTTTCCCAGTGAGAATAACCAGTGTGGACTTTGGCTCAAAGAAGAAGAACCCCACCCTGTTGGCTTAATGATCTGTCTGTGAGGTATGAGGAAATAAAAGGAGCAGCAGGAAACCTTCCAATCTGCAGCTCTCTTACTCTGGACGTGCTGAAAGCAAGATCTCATGGAGGTTTTCCCTGCCAGCCTGAGAGCTTCTTCCATTCTCCTCTCGTACAGTCCTTACAGAGTAAGCCATAAACAACCTGAGTCACCTCTCCAAGGGTGTTCAATGTATATGAATTCCTCTGAAATTTCAGTTGTTCAGAGACACAGCTGGCTGGAGGCAGAGTCAGAGGTGGGTCCTGTCCCCAGTTCCAGCAGGATCTAATTATCCATGAAAACAATGTCTGAAAGTCATCCTTCAGTCAGCTGATCCTTTTACATCCAGCTTTTTGGGAGTTAATGCCACCAACTAACCTACAGCAAAACATCACACACCAGCCTGCAGCACAGCATCCCTGTAGCAGGGGATGTTTTCCTGGATATCCTGGTAAGTTCAGCAATGTACTACTTTTCCCACTATTCCATATGGGGTAACTAAGAAAAAGGGGTTCTGTAAACAAGTAGGACAACTTTGGAATATTTAGAGGAATTTCTAAGGTTATGGCTAGTTGTTGGATGCAAATCTACCTTCCTTTTATCCCCTTCAGATTTTTTTTATGTATATGATGACAGTATATTGAAAGTATATTGAAAGCTGGAGAAGGAATTTCGCCAAGGAGATGGAGTGACAGGACAAGGAGGAATGGCTTCGAACACAGAGCAGGGTTAGATTAGATTAGATAATTAGGAGTACATTTTTCCCTGTGGTGTTGGTGAGGCCCTGGCACAGGGTGCCCAGAGAAGCTGCGACTGCTCTTGGATCCCTGGAAGTGCCCAAGGCCAGGTTGGATGGGGCTTGAACAACCCAGGATATGGAAGGTGTCCTTGCCCATGGCAGGATGGGTTGGAATGAGATGGTCTTTATTTCTAAATAGGATAATCACAGACCAAAAGGGACTTTTGTGACCTCTTTCAAGTCTTTTGCTTCCCATCATTCATGACATCCACCCTCATGCTCTGTCTCTTTTCAGACAGAGCTTTGAGAAGTGGTGAGTCCTTTGTTTACTACCAAGGACTGTAGGTTAAGCCCTTAAATTAATGGAACAAATCATTGAAATATGGAAAATATAGACTGGCTAGCAGCATGGGGAGTTTGCAGCACGATGCAGAGCTCTGCATGTTTTAGGGGGTTTGACAGATGTTCTTGTGCAGGTTAAAAGCTGTGCAGAATTAAGTGGTGTTGGAAGCGTGACTTGAAATAATCACTGTGTTTTAAGTACATCCACTGCCTGAGTAGCTCCCATGCAGACAGTTGCTTAAATGATTTCTTGTGGGAAGTCCTTGAGGGAGCAGATGGATCTGTTTGGAGTTTTGCTGCTTATGCTGTGCGTGTAGGATTGAAATGTCAGGACTTCAAGGAAACTTGTTAGCACAGAAACTAATCTTAAGGTTCAAACCAGTTACAGAGTGGTGCAGAAACAAGTGAAGAAGGTTAATAATGTTTTAATTGTATCGAAAAGCAAGAGTTTCTTTGCACCATACAGTCAGAAAAATGGAGCTGCCAAGTGCTTGGATCTCATTAAAGTATTTTCAGATGTGAGCACTCCTGGTGGTGTGCCCGTGTGCTCCCACACAGGATTGTGTCCTGCTCATGGTGGATCTTCTTTACAGCAACAGGGGAAGAAAGGATGAAAAAAGGAAGAAAAATGCCTGATGAAAACAGAAGCATTTCAGCATAAAATATCTCTGAGGAAGAAGAAAGTGTATGTAACGAGTTGGTTTGGGTTTTTTGGGGGTTTTTTTGTTTGTTTGTTTGGTTTGTTTTGTTTTTTTTTTTATTTATGCAATTAAAAAGTTGAGTTGCTCTCAACTCCTGGCCTTTTAAAAAATTGAAACTACTGGAAGACAGGTCTTCCCTGTCAGATAGATTTGGGACATTTTTGCAGTTTTGCAAAATGGTGCCTACAAAACCTGCACCAGTTCTCAAAATTCCAGTCAGGTACCACAAGGGGTAACTTAAACGCTTTGTTTTCAAATCTGCTCCATCCTCCTGTTGACAGACCCTGCAGCAGTCACAAAATGCATCGTGCAGGGGGATTGTTTCCATGGCCAGAAAAGTTTGTCTCGTTGCCAGTGTTCTGGAATGATGTTAAAATGAAATCAACACTTGGACTAAGCCAAAAGCAGCACTGGAAGTCAACTGCTTCTCCCAAAAAACCCTCTCACTTCTGGATTAATATAAAATATGCTGGATGAGAGGGAGAGAAAGATGATGTCTGCTGGGAAATTTTTCATACAAAAATATTTCAGAAATGTCTGACAGTGTACACATTTTTTATTAATGAGTCCTGAAACCACTTCATTCTACTACTTCAAACTGAAATTTCAATTGTTGCAATTAATTTGTCTGAAATTTTTGTGATCTTGCATCACAGTCTCAAAATGTCAGGCTTCTACATAAGGATGTTCTGTGAAATCCACTGTATATTGGCAGTCTGGGAGGAAAATAAACCGATCATGCTGAGTAGGGCTTGGGGTGATAGTGAAAAACAGCTTTGTTTTCACAGCGAATAAATTGAGGGTCAGAACTATAATTTTCATTATAATTTAAAAAATATTCAACATTAATTGATAAAATATGCAGGCATAGGATGCTTATGAAAGAGTGGAACAGTAAATGAAGCAAAATTGTGATATTCTACAAGACGCTCACTGATTCCTTCAAGCCAGTTTGAGACTTCTTAACCAAAAATATCAGGGACTTCTTAACCAAAAGTTGTGTGGGATCTGCTGTGTCCTTAGCACACATTTCCAGTGGCAGAATGGGCAGCAGAGGTCTGAGGAGGATAAATGCAGGAATTGTGGCTTTTACTGCGGGCTGGTCGAGTCCTGCTGGGACCTTTGCTAAGTATGAAACGGCAGAGGCTTGTGTTGGCAGAGCTTTGCTGTGCAGTAAAACAGGCTGTTAGAGCTCACAGCAGTGTAAAGGTGCCAGCAGAGCAAATTCTTCCTTGTTTGGGTAATCCGTATGAAAATAGTGTTAGAATTTCTAACTATCTGGTGGATCAGATCCAGTGAGGGCAGTGAAGCCAGCCTGGGTGAAGCTGCCTGCAGCAATTGTCACTTTTCAGGTATCACTAGGACAGCTCTGCTCCCCTGGTTTCTGACAATGATCCATCAGACTGCTGGGTTCTCTTCTCCAGGTGCTGCAGGTGCATCTCCTCTGGAAGCATCCAGAACTTTGGGGTTTCAAGCAGAAAAGCTGGACCAGCTGTGTGCTTCACCTCTGCTGCTGAGCAAGGGGATGTTCAGTGGGTGCTGCTCAGTGTAATGGTTACAGACTCTGGGTCAGAAGATAGTCCCACTCAGCTCCTTGAAATAGGAGGCAAAAAATGTTTTCTCTGATGTCATTCTCAGTCTACTGGATCTCCAACAACTTTCCAAGAACAGTCCATGGAGAGATGTATGGCTGCCTGCTCTGCTGCCTGGATTGCTGGGTATTTTAAGTCCCCCTGTGTGCAGTTTCTGACTGTGCTGCCTTCTCAGCATCATGTCTGTCTCCTCTAGAGGATTCTTCTCCAGAGAACCTGCCATGGAAGCAGATGATCTGTCTTCAGTCCTGGGGGCAAATCAATAAAATCATTTTCTCTGTGTCAAAGAAGTTTTTTAAAGCCCCCTTGGCAAAAAAAGGAGAGGTGAGCCTTGGGATCGCAGAGATTTGAGTTCAGTATTTTGGTGCTAGTGAAAGTCACAAATGGTTTGGTTGGAAGGGACCTTAAAAATCATCCAGTTCCATCCCCCTGCCATGAGCAAGAACACTTTTCACCATCCCAGGTTGCTCCAAGCCCTGTCCAGCCTGGCCTTGGACATTTCCAGGGATCCAGGAGCAACCACAGCTTCTCTGGTCAACCTGTGCCAGGGCCTCACCACCCTCACAGGGAATAATTATTCACATATTGTTGCAGAGGAAAGTCTTTTTGGTCTCTGCTTTCCCAAAGCAATCAGTGTGTCAAGCCCTGTGTAACTCTGGCTGGATTCCAGCCTGGAAAGCCAGACACTGACCCTGATTTGGAGCAGCACAGCCTGGGATGAAGTGGCTGGGAAGGGGCATCAAAGCGCCGTGTGGAGGAGCTGGCTGTGACAACAGTTCACCAAGCAATGCATGGCAGAGCATGGACATCAAGAGGAATGTAAAGCAACTCTTTCAACCTCATTGCTTCAAATACCACAACTGTCATTCTTCTATAACGTTACTGCATAAAAACCCAGCGGGATTTATTTATAATTGATGATTTTATGTGGAGGATACTCCAATGCCACCGTGCGGATTAAATCCCAGGACAGACTGACAGCTGTAAAACCCATGAGCACAGGTGAGTGAGCTGGTCTGTTAGTGGCCTCCAGAGGAACACAAAGTGATTTGCTCTGTTGGATTTTGCCATGATTTAATCTTCAGTCTTGCCTGTCCTTACTGTGAAACAGACTGGGAAGAGAATGGCTTGATAGTTTCCCATATGGTTCATCATTGCTAAAAATGCCATGAGGTGATGGGATTGCCTGCTGCAAGCTGCCAAAATCCTTATGAATCCAAACCTGCTCAGAAATCACCTCTGGGAAAACCTAAATTTCTCAGGAAGTTCATGAGAATTATAATGGATTTCCAGGCTTCCAAATAAGTTGTCACGTAAAGACTCTCCACTATGTTTCCAGTGTGAGAACTGAAATCACAACTTGAAGGAAGGAGAAACTCAGTGCAAGTAAATTTTCAAGATTTCTCTATGCAAATCAAAATTCCAGTTGGAGAACTTTGGAGCGAAACAATGGTGTAAAAACCCCCACTTTTTAGTTGAGGTTAGCCTGGAAATTTTAAGGCGCTCATGAATAATTTATAAACCAGTCTTCCCACGGATGAGCAGCAGGACGAGAGCGTGGCTACGTTTGTCACTGTATTGAGACGTTTCCTGGCAATGGTGGAATTTTTATGGCGTTCTTTCTCATAATGGAGTTGTTGCTTAGCTTTTAATGTCCCAAATGTAAACAGATCTGAGGAAGCAGATCGTTAAAAACGTTTAGAAAGGGCGAATGAAAAAGTGAAGTACTTGCGTGCTGCGTTCCAAGCAAAGCCTATAAATCACCGCCATCGGAATTCTCTGACAAGGAGCAAATGGTTTTATGGACTCACAGAAATTGCATTGGGAGGAATAGTGAAAAGATTAATATTTTAAAATCATGGCAGAAGAGCAGAGGGAATAACCCGAGAGGTTTGAGAAGCTGTCCCGTGCTCTGTTTTAAATTGTAACACTTTGACTTAACAAATTCAAAATCAGATTCAAATCTGCTTTGCCATCTTCAGCTCCACAGTCTCTGAAGCCGTGGGACCAGTTGACTTCACTGCCTGGTGCTCCTTCATTAGCCAGGCTGGGAATGCTTAAATCCATGCAGAGGTTTTATGTGTGGAAGCAGCTCAGGAAAAAAGGGTAAAAAAAGCAGTTTTCGTTTGATTTTCAACCCTCAGAGCTGCTTTCTAAACTCAAATTTGGGTTTGCAGCTTTCGAGCCTTCAAGAGTCACTCCAGTGACCCATCCTGGGCAGGAAGCCGGGGATCCCGTGGGATGCAGGGGTGGAGATGGCAACCCCTGGAAGGTGCTGGTGCAGAGGGAAGGGTGAGTGCTCCTCGGCTGCCCTGGCCCAGCCAGCCCAGCAGATGTGAGATGCTGCCTTAGCACGGGCGGCAGCGGGAGCCGCGGTTGGGCTCGGCGGGAGAGGCCGTGGGTGGAGAGGAGCTGGCAGGGATCCCGGGAGCCGCTGGGAAGAGGCTGCGCGGGGGAGAGCGAGCTCACCACCCACCTCGGATGAAATCATGGAACGGGCGAGCGCGAGGAAAGGCTGGTGAGGAGAAGGAGACCTAAAAAAAAAGGGGGAGGACGGGAGAGGAAGGATGGTGGACCAGTGAGGAGAGTGGTTCCTGTCTGGTGGGTTCAAGGAGGATCTGGTTCTCACAGGAGTCAAAATAAGAGCAGGAATTTGTCACAGGAAGGTTTGCTCCAGCAGCATAGAAAAGAACTTTGATACCTGACCCCTTTGGTGGAAATGCATTATTAACGTGTCTGAATGGAGGAGTGATTGTTCCCAGGCAAGCTGCTGCTTCCCCAGTCTAACCTCTAACCAAGCTTGGACCAAGGAAGATGCATTCCTGGAATGAGGAGAAGGAGATCTCTGGAGCTGGCTGGTTGAAAACAATGTTTTTAAGGGCTCCTGAAAAAGGAACCTTACAGTGCCACTTTCGTTAAGCAAGAAGTGGGTTGCCTTGGTGTTCCCAGTTCAGTGGGCACATTGTCTCATCCTTACTGTGCAGGCCAACAAGGAAAAAGTCCAGTGTGGCTTCCTGTTGCACTTTGAGACTGAACATTGCCCAGCCCAGCGTGAACTCCTTGGATTTTTTCTCCCCAATACTTGTCTGATTTATGATAAATTACACCACTCATGACTGTTTCAATCCAATGAGAAGACCTTCAGTGTCTGTGTTTTCCACATGGATTTGTGTCCAAGCTGCCTTTCTGCAGCTAATCCCACATCATTTCTGGAGAGCTCAGGCAGGCGAGGAGCCAGTGGAAGGAGCGGGTGTGATCAGCACGAGGTTTTGTCCAGTGCACCCACTGAATACAGCCTGCATCTTCTGCTGGGTTTTGTTGGATCCTTTTCATTCCTTGGAAGCACAGTTCAGGACAAAACTGTCACAGTCTGACTTTAAGGAATGGGATTCTCAGCACTTCTGTCTCTGCTCCAGCCAGCGAAAACTGATGCGTAAGACTCCTTCTCCCTCCCTCCAACTCCAGTGGGTGCAAAGTTGTAACTGTTTCAGGAAAGATACAGCCAGAAAAAAAATAAAAACCAACCAAAAAACATTTCCCTAGCTCATTTTCTTTTCCCAGAAAACCAGATGGATGAATCATTACAACAGCAGCTGTGACAGGGGACCAGACAACAGACTGAGCCCAAAGCCCAACCCAGTTGAGGCAAGATGAAAAACTGTCCAAGGATTTACCAACCCTCCCTCCCACATCTGTTTAAAGGAGCAGGACTCCAGAATTAGGGTATGTGGATTTTTTTTGCATCCTGCATAGCAGCAAGAGCAGCCATTGCAGAGACCAGGGTGTCATAAATCCAACAGGATCTAGCAGTGAGGTCCAGTGAAGTAACATGATGGTGTGGTCAGTGGTGATCACCAAAACAGAATCACAGAATGGTTTGGATTGGAAGGGACCTTGGAAATCCCTTCGTTTCAACTTCCCAACAACTTCCACTAGACCATGGTGGTCCAAGCCCTGTCCAGCCTGACCTTGGGCACTTCCAAGGATGGGGCAGCCACAGCTTCTCTGGGCAGCCTATGCCAGGGTCTGACCACCCTCACAGGGAAGAATTTCTTCCCAGTATCCCACCTAACCCTGCCCTCTGGCACTGGGAAGCCATTTCCACTTGTTTTGTCACTCCATGCTGTTGTCCCAGGTCCCTCTCCAGCTCTCTTGGAGCACCTTAGGTACTGGAAGGGGCTCTCAGATTTTCCTGGAGCCTTTTTTTTTCCCAGCTGTCCCAGCCTGGCTCCAGAGCAGAGGGCCTGCATCCCTATAAGCATCTTCGTGGCCTCCTCCTGCTTCACTCCAGCTCATTCCTCTTCTTTCCTGTGTTGTGAGCCCTAGGGCTGGAGGCAGCTCTGCAGGTGAGATCTCACCTGAATGGAGAAGAGGGGCAGAATCCCCTCCCTGTCCTGCTGCCCACACTTGTGCAGCAGCCCAGGACTGGGGGTGTGTCTGGGCTGCCATCAGCCATTGCTGGGTCATGTTGAGCTTCTCATCCACCAACATCCCCAAATCCTTCTCCCCAGAGGTGCTCCCCATCCATTCTCTGTACCTGTTCTTGGAATTGCCCAAGCACAATATCCAGCTCCTTAGACCAGAGGGAGCAGCCTCAAGGCTCCATTTGTTTGTGGAGGCTTTCCTTTGCAGGCAGTTATTTGTGAGGTACATGGACATTCTCTTAATACAGCAGAATGCTGTGCATAAAATGCATCAAAATAACATCAGAAGTGACAAGGTTGAGGAAGCATTTAAAAGTTACGAGATGCCTGCCTTCAGGCTGCCCACAGAACCTCTGTGGGCGTGTGTGGTTCATCCTTAATTACATTTTTGGGAGGTATTTTTTACTCCAGAGGACACTGCCCTGCTCCCCGCATGCGATGCTGGTACTCACTTGCTGAAAAGCCACTCGGGGTTAGGGTGGATTTTTTCCTTCTTCATCTTCATTTCTGCAGCATCACAGTGCTTTGGCTGGAGCAATTGCTCTGATGACATTGATGACATCTTCTTTTCTTTTTTTTTTTCCTTTGGTGAGGCTCTATTGTGGTTTCTGCTTTACAAACAAAGAACCAGAGCACAAAGAAACGAAGGTCAAAGAATCTATTAATTTTGGGTGCCCAATCTGAAGTAGCCAGTGCAAGATATTCAGGACTCTGTGTTCAAAGCGCAGATTCCTCTCATGCCTTTCTTTGTTTTCTTCCAACCCCCTGCTTTGTTCATTGCCCTCTTCCAACTTCTGCCTCTTGGGCGCTGTAATTACGATTTTTAAATTCAAACGCTGCTCTTAGCTTTGGAGTGTTTTCATCGCTGACTGAAAAGCTGTAGCTGAGCTCCTCTAGGCAGCAAATGTTCCCTTTCTCTCAAGGTAAACAGCGAGTCAGGGAAGGTCACTGCAGGTAAAAAGCCACAGGTCTGGAAGAAGAGAGCAGGACATAATTCAAGCCTAAGTACTCATGAGCCATGTGGAGATCTCTTCACCTCTCCTGCCCTCTGCGGCTCCCATGAACCCTGTCACAGAGCAAGGGCAGCACAAAGAAGCTGGACCTGGGATAAAAAAAAACCTGGGGGTTACCTCAGGTGCTCAGGGCTTGGGTCCATTGTTGCTTTAGCAGAGGCAGCTATGGAGGAATTGTGTTTGGGGAAGCAGAGCAGACCACGGCAGGAGTGGGAGGGCAGAGGGAAGCCAGCGGTACCCAGCGTGTGCTTGTTGTGTTGGGAATAGCTTGTACTTGTGGGACTTGGTCAAATGCCAGGAAAACCCTGAGGGTGAGGCTGCAGTGCTCCTCTTGAGCTGTTCCAGCCCCTGGAGCCCTTGGGAGCAGCAGTGCTGAACACTGTGTGCTCTCAGCTGCCCCAGGCACAGCCGGATCCATCCGCACAAGGACACGTGTCCTGGGCTCCCTCCAAGCTGGAGCTTCCAGCACATCCACCTTTCATTTCTGCTGCAGGGTCCTCTGCCCAGGCAGGTTTTGTCTGACCATGTCCCATGTCTGGAAACACTCTCCAGCCTCAGCACCTCCCGTTTGGCTTTGGCAGAGGGAAGCAGTGGGGCACTGAGGGGAGGATTTGTGAGGCTGCATTAGCTGGTGGCTGGTGAGTCTGCAAAGCATCTGTCCCAAATGCAGGACAGCAGCTGGGGACATGAGCACAGCACCAGTGAGCTGAGACCTCAGCAGGCCCCTGGAGTGTGGGTTTGAGTAGGAGAGAGCTGAGAAGGACTTGGGAGCAGGAGGAGTGGTAATTCACCCTGGAAAAATGCCTGGATGGCTCCAAAGGGGACCTGGCACTCATCTGTCCAGGCATTTCCTGCTGCCACAGGGGATTCCTGTGCTCCTCCTTTGCTGCTTCTTCCACCTCTGGATCTCTGCATCACTGTTGCTGTTGGAAACACCAGCATTTCATAAGCTGGAGAGCTCAGGGCTGCAGAGACAGCACAAAAGCAGCTCGAGGACACACAGAAGCAGGAAAACCAATTTTTTTTAAATCAAACTTGCATAGTAATGTTGGGTCCAAGGAATATCTTAAGTCCAGCCTCCCACTCTGAGGAGGAACGTAGCCAGGGTGTCAGCCATGTTCTGGCCCTAGATCACCTAAGTATGGGGGTACAGTTTAGGTGGTCTGTGTCCCAGGGCAGCTGTGTCTCCCACATCCAGCCTGAGCCTCCTGTGTCCCACTTGCCACTGGTGCCCTTTGTCACAGTCCAGCACGATGGGGAGGAGTCTGGCTGTGTCTCTACACCCACCTTTCAGGTGTTTGTGGCCCGTTCTTACCCCACCATCAACTCCTCAGGGCTGTGCAGAGCTTTCTCCCCACTGTCAGCACCATTTGCTCATAGTGAAAGCAGAGAAACCCTCCTTCAAACCCTGCTGTGCTCCCCCAAAACCAGGGCAGCAGCCAGAGCATCCGTGGGCACACCTGGGGGGATGAGTCACCAGCAGCAGCATCTCCCACGGGACCAGCCCCACCCACGCTGGGGCCTTTCTGTCCCTGTGGAGGGGTCCAGAGAGCAGGTTTCAGCTCCCCCCAAACCAGACACCTCCAGAGTGCTGGACTGGGGAGATGGGAAGCCCTGGAGGGGGCAACTGAATCAGATTTCCTGCTAGACCCAGCCCCATCCAGGGGATAACATCCAGAGCATCCTGTGCTGCCCTTGGAGGGGGCAGCAGCAGGGTTGGCCAGGGGAAGGAGTTGGACACAGCACTCGTGTTTTCCAAGCTAGAAACCTTCCTACGTGCCAGTTCATGAGGATGAAGCTGTAAATCAGCAGGAAAAGCTTCTCAGTCATCACCATCACCATCTGGGGGAAAGAACTGTCTGGGAGGAAAGATAAGGGGTGCGTTGGTGGTCCTTCATTGTCCCCTTCCTCCAGGCTTCATGCTGGCGGTGTAATTAGTGATTAATATAAATATTTTCACTTTTAATTTCACAATGAATATGAGCAAGGCGAGCCCAGATGCAAATAGGAGCCGAGGCCCTTCTGCAGGGACCTCAGGGGACTCTCCAGCCACCTCACACTGAGTCACCACAGCCCCGGGAACCCCGTGGAGGGGACGGAGGGGTGACAAGGTAGAGCTGCCTATTGAAAAAAAAAGTCCCCAGTTTGTTGGTTTAGTAAGGAGGGGAAAAAATAGAAGTTAATGCTGCGACCTAGTGGAGAAAAACCAGACTTGCAGAGTCACGGCAGAGCTGATTCAGGCGAGGGGAAAGCAGAAGTTTGTGGAATTTGTGCCTGGTGGAGGCTGGACCGCAGAAAGCTGTGATAGTGCGGCTTATTTTTACAGGATTTCACACCTGAGAACGTGGTTTGTAGCCTGTTCAGGTTTCCAGACGGTGCTCAGCTTATCCCTACATGATCTGAGGTTGGAACTAGGTGATCTTTAAGGCCCCTTCCACCCCAAACCGTTCTGTGATTCTGAGTTTCTGTGTTCTCATGGAAAGGCTGTGAACATCCCCGTGGCCCACGTTGAACCTAGCACAACACCAATGTGACTGCAAACAGGGTGGGTAAAGGTCTGCTCCCAGCAGTGTCCACCTGGGCTTGGATCTGTGCTCCCAGCTACTTCATCCAGCCCCAGAAGGAACTGGAATTGGAGAAGAAACTGTTTGCTGGGCAAAAACGGGGAAAACTAGTCACTGGTGAGATGAATTGCCTGGTGCCTGCAGCTGTGTAAACCTGAGCTTGGCATGGTCTGGGATGAGATCCAATGCTGGAGCACCTGCACTTGGGAAGTGGAAAATCCCTAAAACACAGGTTTTGGGTCAATAATCACCCAAATTGAGACACAAACACCACCTGAGCTAAGGGCTACTGTGATTGAATGCCAAACCAGGGCAGGGAGAGCATGGGGGGAAAGGCACAGGGATGCTGTGCCCAGGCTTGGGGCCCATGCTCCAAAAAGGGGGCCAGAAAATGGGAAGGATTTCAAAGGAGAACCCCAAGAGTGAGGAAAAACTCTCAACAGGGTGAAGCTGAGCTCAGTGTGTTTCACAAATGAAGAGGGTGGATTTCAGCCCATCACCACTGTGCCTGTGTCCAAGGGATCCCGGTCCTTGGTTCCTGTGGTGGGTGGCTTGGAGAGCACCCAGGGACTAAACCCCTCTGCTGAGACCCCACAGGAGTTTGTACATCCAGGAGGGTTTGCCACAAGGGAAGGGTCAGGGGAAGCTGCCTGGGACACAGCCTCTGCCTGGCCAGGATCTCTCCTGTGCCAAGGGCATTGCAGAACTGAGACGCCTCCAGG